AAAAAGCTACAGACGTTGTTGAGTCGATAAGTCCTAACAAACTGTAAATCAAAATGCATTTGTTCTTTTTCGACCTTATTCCACAGCACGAGAATAGGTGATTAAATATACCTTACCTTCGCATAGATAAGACAGTAGTAATAGACTTATTCCTTGGAAAAAAACAGTAGAATGGAGATATAGTTTGGTTGATATTTCTCCTATAAACGTGCAGCACTTTAACGATCAGAGAAGCCACAGCTGACACTCCGCAGCATCGACAGAAAATATTAATATGACATTCCTCCTATCTCCTGCTGTTGCTTCGATAAGGGCACGTTGCCAAAATGTCAACTCAACTAGATCTGCATTCTGCTGCTTTTCTCCGAGGAATAAGTTTATTACTACTGTCTTATCTATGTGAATACTATTCCTCGCTCATGCACTGAACAACTTACCTTACCTTCGCTGTAAATTGCGGTGTTGTAAACCATGCCCGTATGGACCACATCAATGTATTATGAAGATTGTTTTTGATGAGCATGCAGCAGCATAAACGCACGTTACATGCGTCTCTTTGTCCTGCAGCCCATCACCGCGTACAGGTGATCGTGTGCTCTGTCGGGGAACAGAGCATGCGGATACTCTTCGCCGGTCAAAGCACATCCCTCTGTTGTAGATCAGTTCAAAAGCCTGCGGAGTGCCAGCTGTGCCGTTCTCTGCTCGTTAAAGCCCTGCATATGCTCTATCATTCTTCGCTGTCGACCATATCGTTCCAAGACGAAACAAGGCGACATAAACGATTAAAACGGTTAAGCTCCTTAAGCGATTCCGGCATGTAAGGTGTTTGCAGTGTTTCGTTACCGTCTGGAAGGGTTTTAAGTGTTTTTAGAATCATTTTAACCGTTTGCAGCTACACATGACACATGGTTATTTAACTAACGGTTCTTGTGAGACCTTTCAACAATATTACATATCGTGTTTTCATTTATTTCATTGTAATTGGCCACGGTTACGAGGTTACCTGGTTGGGCTTTTACGTGGTCCGAGATGAAATGTATACTTGATGTCCTGTGTTGGATATTTTTCGGAAACGATTGTAGATAATTTGCTCCGTTTTATGCCGTCATGACATCAGCACCCGTAATGTACATGCCGGCATGCATGGGTATGAAAGAATACCAAGTCATCTAATTAAAATCGGCGCTGAAAAAGAACCGCACTCAACGTAAGCTTAGAAAGTCGAATAGGTCGGCACGGGTAGATTAGAACAGTGTTGCAGCACAGAGAAACACTCGGGTGCATTGACCCAGCAAAGAGAATGTGCTGGGTATTGCCACAGGTCAGGATGGAGCGTTGAGATAAGCGTTGCCATAGCTCTTGCCGATTTCTCGGCACCCGGTCATAGGTTCGGAGCGGATAAGGCCAAACAAATTAGTAAAGAAGATAATCCGGGAACACTGAGAAATAATTCCCTTTTGAGCTCACGGCCTACTTACTAAAACATATACAGCATTTGTCCGGTTTTCAAACATTGCTCTCCATGTCTGGACTAGGGTTAATCGATCTGTTGTTGCACGTGCCAAAGGCTGAAGAAAAACGCACTTGCTACCTTGCTTACCACTTCGTTACTGCCGTCTGTCAATGTTGCTGCCATGTGTCTGTGTTTTCAGACTTCAAAGCAAATGGGAGTATTGTTGTGTCGTAGCAGTGAGCTTCGCTGGGAAAAAAATTGTTGCATTTCATATGTCTTCTTATCACGCCCGTTGCAAACTATTCTTTACTTGATTGTGTGCTTTCTTTGACATTTCTCATAGCACTGAGCTCGTATAATACATCTGATCGTCACTATAGCTCACCTTTCTCACCACATCGAATGATTGAATAAATAAATGAGTGGCGGACGCCAGAAGCCGGCAGCATGCGGCGCGTGCGGGCTTTGTCATTTTACTTGAAATACTCACCAGTGGCGACTGAACGATTGACAAATAGTATTTTGACGACGCGAAAGTTTGAAATTGCAACCCTGTGGGTTAAGTAAATGCTTTGACGGCACAATGCACAAAATGACAAATAAATGGGTGGCAAATACAGGCAATGAATCGGTGCATGTGATAGTGTAAATTTCGCCACGATCCAGGCTATAGTTTTGGCGACGGCGTGTTTTGCTCGCCGGTTTTCCAAACGCCGACTTCCCTACTCGCCCGGCCATTATCAGCGCAGACGTCGCACAAACTCGTGCTGGACACGCGGATTGCAGACGGTGCGTTGGCCGACGCTTTGAAATTTAATTCACGCCTCCACGCACTCTGACTGCCGAGATATAGAATAAAACGCGGAAAACCGCAAAAACACGCTAAATTCGTATTCATTGTCTTTGTGCACGTGACACGTGACGCGCGCGACCGCACGTCTGGCACCACTTGATGCCCCGTCCAATTATTTATCTAAGCGTGCTAATTGCTTGCCTTTCTGAGCCCTGGTTGTCTAGATGTGGTCACGGTTTCGAAAGGCTGCTGGTCGACTTTGTCGTCGGTCACAATGCCGGGCCGCCCGTGTAAAACCGACGGGCCTAAACGGTCCTTCCGCATTGCGCCCCGCCCGAACCTTGGACCGCAGCGGCACGCGATCTACCCGTGGAAAACCACCTCGTGCACCCGCGCATCGTGTCCGAATTTCACCCTTCAGCGACCCGCTGCTGTCCTGTGAACAGTGCTTCGTAAAACGGGGCAGACAGGCAGACACAATCTAAGCCGAAATCATACGTCCATCCTGGGCATTCAGCTTCTCACGCCGTAGTACCCAATACTGTATCTGGCCTGCAGGAAAAACCACCCAGGCAAAAAAACAGCATGGATGCTTTTGTTGTTTTGCAAGGCGAAGCCGTGCAAGGTGTTTGGATTTGCTATGTTCCGAAACGCTTATTTTTGCACTGGAATTTAGAGCATGACAACGGTTTTTTTGCAGCGGGGTCTGCTTTAGAAGTCAATTAGTGGGTGATACCCAATGCCTCACTTTTATAGAGGTGCTAAAACGTCGACACACTCAGGAGAAAATGCTGCTCGTGAGCTCAAAAGCCATTGTTCCGTTCCAGAATTAGATGTATGCCATTTGACGCAGCGGGAATAACAGATGCAAATAATTTACAAGAGGCAGATAATCATCAAACATAATGGTATTGAGCGTCATGACCCCGAACAAACCAATTTAAAAATTTCCGGCTGTGTCTGCTGACACGGCTGTCAAAAACTTCTCTCTTCTCAGACAACCGGATACAAAAGTTTGCTAATCGATGTGCAATGACCATCAGAGCCAAATAAGCAAGAAAAGTGTGAAAGTCATGTTTCGTGATCCAACGGCCAACAAAAGCCTAAATATGTCACTTTTGACTGTTGTCACGAAAAAGTCTAACCTCCGTCCCATTGAAACAAAATGCTCGCCATTTGACGCAGCGCAGTCGATTTATCCGGGAGAAGCAAGAGTGGAGAATGGGGGTCATGGGCTTCGCGACTGACGGGGCAAAAGTCTAACATTGTGCGTGTTTTTTGGCCCCTGAAATGCCAATATCAATCGATGCGCTGTAGTCGCAGTTATCGGAGCCAAACGAGCGTGAAATGTGTGGAGGTGCCCAAAAATCTTAAATTGTCTTAAGTCCAAAGTCAAATGCAGAAAGTCCAAAATTGTCTGAAGGGTGGTAAGGGTGATCTTGAATCATGTCAGCAGCTAAGAGCGGAAAATGTGTAGTTTTGTTGCTCCCTGGGTTATAGTGTTGATGATAGGCATGTCTCATATGTGTTTTTCTCCGGCACGTCGAGCTCGCCGCGTCGAATGGCGCACCACTCTGCAATCATTGTACTGGCAAATGGTTTTTGAGCGTGTCATTATCTGATGAGCCTCCGTTTGGATGGACCCGCTAGCCGGATTCTCCCTGTTTTACGTTCTTTTATTTCACCTGCGAACGCCACAGTCCATGAAAATGAGGTGATGCGATGAAATGCAGTGATATCGTTGCAAGCTGTTGATGCATTGATGATACCCTCACCCTAATCTTTGCAACCATCTATTCTATTCAACTTCCAGCGATATGTACTCTTCAAGCTAATATTCTGCGTAGAGCGTGTTAAAGACTCGGTCGGGCGTGAGCTGCTAGCGAATCAGCGTTTTCAGTCGTGGTGGGGCATTTCGCAGTTTGCTGGGGGGTGGGGGGTGAAAATCACTGGTGGGAGGTCACTGGTTGAGATGTCATTGATTAGGAGCAGAGAATCAATTAACTCATTAACTAGAGTCTAGTGACCCATCGCCTCTCCACCCCTCCCCACGGTTCACTCGCCATTCACCAAGCACTCCTTCCTCGAGTTCGAACCCGCGCCCAAAGGCGCTTGTGCACACTTTTCCCTTTCGAAAGCTCAAAGCAGCTGAACGGGAAATGCCAGTGATGGTCACTGGGGGTTAATGAGATAACTTCTGGGGTCAATGCTGAGATGTCTTGAGAACGCTTTCTGGGAAAGGGCTTCTAAATGCTATTTTGCGGTCCGTGGGACAAAAACTAGGTCAACTTCTAGCCGAATTTGAGCTCCTGACCTACCAGGGTAGGACCCTTTTGAAATGTTTGTTCTGTTTAGACGAAGCTTACCTCCGGGGTCTCTTTTAACTCACGGTCCCGCATAGGGACCACCCAGGACCAGGGAACTGCGATTCCCCCGCTGCTCAGAAAGAGCTCTTGCCTCAAGGGATCCCTCCCACCTTCATCCCGCCCATCACAGCCCTTTAAAGGCCCTTTGGATAATTAGAAGTCTGAATGTCGCCTATACAAAATTTGATCTGCTTTGCCTCTTCATACATTGCACAATGTGCGATGCATCATAAGCCAGCTTGGCATTTGTACACCACTTATCTAGCAATGGTGATTGAACCAGTTCCCAACGACACAGGTAATTCAAAACAGTTAGAAAAGCTTCAGCGGTCCATAAGTTGCAGTTGAACAGCGTGGTGTTCTGCTCGTAGTAGTCAAAAACAGCTGCGATGCGACAACCACAAGGTGTATTAAAAACGAAACATGAATTATTGCTCCGCAGTCCCGTCTCATCACACCTAACCCTGAAGCCTCGCCACTGTCACTATTGACATCCCATCACGACCAATCATGAAATATCTCCAAGATCAATCACGAAATATTTCACCACATCTAACCGTGTCGCATGCGTCACCATGACAACTCCGCATTTTAAACGCATTTCAGTCACGTTAGTGCAGTTCGGGAAATTAGAAATCCTCTGTCGCCAGACGTCGACCGCAAGCAGTCGTCGGCCACGTTAGAACCATGAGCAGTCACCGCAGGGCGCACCTTTCGATGCTGTGTGCGTTACATGTGTGCGTTTCCGTGCGCTGTGTGAGTTACATGTGCAACGCAACACGACGGAGCATTGAAAGTTGACATAGACTGTGCAAACTATACGTCTGCAATGTAACAAGTGATATGTACGATGGTAACACACTGATCGTTTGTGGAGTTGCGGCAACCACCATGAACACGTTTGAAGCGGGACTGATTATCTACGATGAGATGATTACATGATTGCAAGACATGAAGAATTTTGTTCAACTGGATAGTGTAAAAGTATTTTAGGTATCTTGGGTCGTCCTCGCTCGGGTGGGTTTCATTCACAACATGACGTATTTGGTCGCAATGTACGCGCAATGGGCAGGACCGATTAAAGTGGGCGTGGTAAAATCTGGTTCATACGATAAGGCCATCGTGTTTTATGTTTGGATTGCCTTATAGTCATAGGTGCGATGATCCCCGGTATGTGCGAACCAGTACTGCTCGTGATGAATTCCTCGGTACATCCCTTGCTGCAGTCCTCGGTATGGCTTCACTTCCTCTTGATGGCATCGCCGCCGCCCGCCTCCTTGATGAGACTTTCTTGGCGTCAACATTGCAGACGTCACTCGTAATAACTGCCAAAGCAAATCACCGGTTACAGAAATTCATGCGACTGTGGCCGTTGTGGTTAAACACGCAGGGACTGAACAACAAGACTTGTGATGAACAACAATATAACAAACCACACCACAGCTATACAGTTCTGGATTGAGGCAGACCGACTGACTCATCGTCAAGCACACCGGCCTTTGCTTGGAAAGGCCGGTGTGCCTTGTAGCAAGTATTACTCTGGAAAGATCCATGCGGGCGACAGGTGCGGGCTCTGACCAAACCCAACGCCTGCCGAGCCGACGATGACGCCGATATCCTCACGCCTTCTCAGTTATAGCCATCTCCAGTGCATGCACCCTCTCTTAATCACCACGCATATTCTCACCATTCGGGAACGTTTTCCGGTTTGTCGCACTGTTTGTCTCGTCGTTGAACACGCGTCCCGCCTCGCAGCCGTGACGACGCGGCACAACGCCATCTAGGCACGAAAAGAAGAACTGGCAGTCCGTGGGGTCGGCGTATAGCGCGGGTGGAGGGGGAAAACCAGGCGCTGGATTGGCCAGTTTTCCGTCCACAGTTCCCGGACACTTGAACTCCAGCACCTCTGCAAATAAGAAAAAAGCGGATGAGTTTCAATCACTTCATCACTCGAACAGGAATCTGCAGAACGTACCAAATTAGCTTGGCAGTCTTTGCGGTTCGGTCTTGTGAGTTGACAGTACAGAGATGTTCTAGGGTTTATCAATTTCTACAGATCTGCAAGATTAAGTGCACTTTGGACGCTTCCTCTGCTCCGTCTTTATCCGTTTGTAATCGTTGGCATCGGTTATTTCAAAGTGAGGTGTATAATTTGACCTTGGACTGAATGGTTATCCTGAGGATTTGGTCCATACCAAGAAAATAATTTGGGTTTTATACCAAACGTTAGCACGGACATTTCAGGACTTACATGTTCGGTTTTGCAATCATAGTAAGCAAGATAGTAAGCAGCATACGTCTTAAATTCAAACTTAGCTGCCTGCAGGCTCAGTAACTGCACAGAAAAGAACCAACCCGGTTCTGAACCCTTGTCACTTCATCACAACCCCTGGCAAAGTTCCCCTGTATCGCTAAATGCCACCTTACAATAATTTCAACACGCATTTGCAACCGTAATGGAATTCGGCTTTCCGGCCGTGGCGGCGGCGCGACGTCGCTTGACCTTCCGAGGAGCAGCCGGTCCTGCCGGCTTGATCGGGCCACTGGCAGGTGCCCGTCTGCAGTGAGAACACCAGACCGGCCGGGCACGTGACCCGGTTGCTCGTGCCGTCCACGCAGTGGACGAAGCTGCCGCAGCGCGTTGGCTTCGGGTCGGCGAAGTAGCCGTTCTGCCGCGGGCAGTCACCGGTGGGCTTTGGGTCTTCTGTTGGCGAACGGGGCCGGGGGTGAGGTGGCCATGTGACGACGGGTTATTTGGATACTCTTGGGGAAACGAGACCTGCATGAGAGCTACGTGGTGTTTTGCCAAGTGCAAAACAAAGCAAGCAGTCTAATTTCGAGGAGTGTTAAAGACCGATAAGCGTATGACATGACCAGTAAACACCGCAATTAAAAAGTTGAAAATGTTTGACAACATTTCTGGACTGTCCTCACACTGTAAACTGACAAGAAAACTTCGCCTCAACCAGAGCGCGTTGAGCGTGCAAGTGATCATACAAGTGTAAGCCATGTAAGTCACAAAGCCCGTACGTCAGACATCAGATTTACGCGTTCCAAAGCAGGCAGTTCCGCAGCACCCCCTGCCCAGCGCCGTGTTCCCGGACTCTCGCGACCAGAGCTGTACTTACGGGGCTCCTCCCATCCCGCGCCGTACTCACACAGCGCCTCCCGGCCCGGGCTGTACTCACGGGGTTCCTCCCGGCCCGGGCTGTACTCACACAGCTCCTCCCGGCCCGCGCTGTACTCACACAGCTCCCCCCCCCCCGGCCCGCGCTGTGCTCACACAGCTCCTCCCGGTCCGCGCTGTATTCACACAGCTCCTCCCGGCCCGCGCTGTACTCACGCAGCTCCTCCCGGTCCGCGCTGTACTCACACAGCTCCTCCCGGCCCGCGCTGTACTCACTCAGCTCCTCCCACCCCGAGCTGTACTCACACAGCTCCTCCCGGCCCGCGCTGTACTCGCACAGCTCCTCCCGGCCCACGCTGCACTCACGCAGCTCCTCCCTGTCCGCGCTGTACTCACACAGCTCCCCCCGGTCCGCGCTGTACTCACACAGCTCCTCCTGGCCCACGCTGTACTCACGCAGTTCCTCCCGGCCCGCGCTGTACTCACACAGCTCCTCCCGGCCCGCGCTGTACTCACTCAGCTCCTCCCGGCCCGCGCTGTACTCACGGGGTTCCTCCCGGCCCACGCTGTACTCACACAGCTCCTCCCGGCCCACGCTGTACTCACACAGCTCCTCCCGGCCCGCGCTGTACTCACACAGCTCCTCCGGCCGGTTCCGGTCCCCGGCCCACGCTGTACTCACGCAGCTCCTCCCGGCCCGTGCAGTTCACACCGAAGGGCTGGTCGCAGCGACCGAACGAGACGCTGTAGTCGTTGAAGACGAGGCCGTCCGGACACATCCGCTCCGTGATGACGAAGTCCTGACACTCGTAGTACCGGTCACACTGGTGGCAGCACGCGGTGCGCGCTGAGCGTGCGTGGGAGGACATCGCCACCGACGCTATCTGCTGTGCTTCAAAGGAGGCGACGTTCGTGCACCATGCAAGCGTGTCATTGTTCCATCGAATGTCGCTTAGGCCTGGATATTTGTAGGCATGACAAATGACTGATGCAAAACATCGATTTGATATCGTATTGAAACAAACGGGCAGACTTGTTTCATCCTCCTTATGTTCAATGCCGAATGGGGCTAAAATATCGTCCTGGTTTAACCAAGAGCGATTTTAGTCCAAATCGCGTCGATTTATATGAATTCAGATTTCATTCATTGCACACACATGCATGGATCCCAAAAAACATATGCAACGACCCATGACCCGGTTGCCATCACCCAAGCCACCTGGGGGGGGGGGGGGGGGTCACGGATACATCGTTGGATCCAGTCAGATCTCTGGGCACATGTCTCCTTCAAAGCTGATGTTGAGTAACGCGTCCTAATTGAACTTGCTAATGAATCGGCCTCAGGGAAACACGCATGAACCGCTGCAGGTATGGTTTGACCATCGGCGTATGCAGTAGCAGGAAAAAAGATATGGGCAGTCCCAGGTATAGACCCAACAAACAAGGCCGCGTGGAGCGTGCAGCACGCGGCCGGCGCGAGTGTCGGCCGAACAGCACGCGGCCGGCGCGAGTGTCGGCCGAACAGCACGCGGCCGGCGCGAGTGTCGGCCGAACAGCACGCGGCCGGTGCGAGTGTCGGCCGAAGCTCACCGCCGGCACTGTGAGCTGGAATCGAGTGCAATGCTGAAGCTTTCACAATGCTCAAGGATACCTCTGCTACCTGACAATCTTGAATCCATATGGCCCATTCATATGTGTTGGCACATCAACAAAACACTTGCAAGCCTTATTTCAAAACGGTATTCCCATGTGACCGAGGCCTGAGTTACATCATGTCACATTTCCTTTTTACACTTGCCAGGACCTGAGTTACATCACAAACGCGCGAGAGCCGAACCTGGAACGCGTCGGCGAAGAAGCCGTCCTTCTGGGGGCATTCTGTGTCGAAGGTGGGCGCCTGAGGGGCGGGCGTGGTTCTGGCCGGCACCACGCGACTGGATGAGCCCCGGCGGCCGGGCGCGCGGCCGGCCGCGGTGGCGCCCGCCGTGGTCCGGCCTGGCGCTGCCGGCGGGGACGCCCCCTGCCTCAGGGACGACCCCCGGCTTGGAGACGCCTGACCGGCAGGGTCCCGGCCGACGGGTCGTCGCCGGCTGGTGGTCCGCTGTCCCGAGACTGGCGACAGACGATGGCGGCGGTCGGTGGAGGGCGGCGGTGACTGGGACTCGGCATGCTCGGTACTGGTCGGCGTGTGTCCAAGGTTGACTCAAGGAGACGCACCCAGTCGGCGTTTCTGGGAATCGCCTTAGCTGTGGATGACAGGCGTTGTGCACCGCAAGCTTTCACTCAGAGCCCACCTGTTCGCCGTGTCACCGGGAGTGCTGAGGTTGGGACTCATTGAAGCATATCACGAACCCCAGCTGTCAACATCGCGGCGGGATCGGAAAAATAAGCAGCGCAGGGGATTAAAAAGTCTATGGTAAGGTGCTGAGCAGTGAGCGTCGTAACCGTGAAAAAGCGCTACAAGCCTTTGTCTGATCTGTAGCTGGTCGCCAGTCCAGTGGAAGGTGCGCCCACGCTGCCCTTGTCCATGACATTCGAGCAAGTCGCTCGATTAATTGGACCAAGGGCAGCGTGGTATCCGATTGAGTAAGCAGATCTTTTGCTGCTGTTAACACGAAGCCAATATTTGACGGTGCATCATTTCGTTACATTCAGCTCAAGAAAGACTACATTCGGTAGATACTTGCCTGACAGGGACTGTTTCACATTTGAACACATTGAGGCAAGCATCATATGTGATGAGACAAGCTCACTTATAGCTATTGGTATAATTTTGAAGTGGAAAAGACTGCTTTAAATAGCGCAATTATCTGTGTAGTAAATATGCTTCGCAATACGTAATGGTTTGAACACGTCATTGTACATTGCACAACATGTACCAGCCAGCTGATATTATACAGCTGATTTCCAGATACAGCTAGAGAACCAGCTGTATCTGGAAATCGCGCTCAAGAATGCTAGATATAAACGCCTTGAAGATTACATTTGCATTGACCTTGATCTTCGCATGGCTTATGGAATGGCAGGATTTGAACGACGTTATTATGGCGTCATGAAAGCCAAGGTGACATTCAGATGTTCCCCCGATACACCTCTTCTCGTGTTCAATGTGGCTATTTCAGTTAAAAATCCGATCTAAATGTGGAACACTCCCTTGCACTATATGCACACTTCTTTGCAGGTCACGATGACAGCATTTTTCACACACTTGCACTGTGGAGCGCATTCCTGCACACTGAGTGAAGGCGCTCACTCCCCACGCATGGCGAATCGGAAACCTATGCGCACATCCTTACCTCATACAGCAAAGCACAGCTAGACAGGTGGGTCAGTTAGGTCATTCAGTTCACAGCGCTGACACGGCACTCCATCGGCCGCCGCAGCGCCGCCTCCCAGAGCGCGACAACCACCGCCGGTCGAGAGGTCACGCCTCGGGCGCCGCGGGCACCCCACTCACCGAGCGCGATCAGAAGCAGGGCGGCGTAGAGGCGGTGTCTCATGTCTGGGCCGGTGCGGTGCACTGTGGGGCCGCGTGCGCGCCTCTAACCCAGATCGGCCGGCGCCGCGGCGGCGAAGGTCGAGCGCGGTCGCCGCGGCCGCCGGCCGGCCGGCGCGTCCGGCCACGGTAACGGGCCGCCATCAGCGGAGCGGCCGCCGCCCGCGCCAGCCCCGTGTCGACCCCGACACCGCTACAAGGGCGCCGGCCACCGCGCCGGTCACCGCCGGACCGACCTCTGGTGTCCTCGCCGGCTGGTCCTCCATTAAGGCGCGACCGTGAGGCAGGGTGCCGCAGATGGCGTGATGGCTGAGAAATCCCACGACGGCTGGCTACATCCAGCCGAGTGAGAACACGAGTGCACTGGGTCGTTACGCGACATCAGCTGTATGCCTTTATGTATTAAGGTCAACCACTGGTATTCCGCATCAGTTCACTCCTACTCCACCGCCCATCTTCCTGATTACCTCGTCCTGCCGGAGGACAAAATCACTCGCCTCCCCGTCTGATCACTAATTCAGCGAGACAGACCAATGCGTTAAAGATGGCCGTGCTGTTTGTCGTGTGAACTTTCGAGTGGCGTCCGGTTTCGTTGGCTTTCGGTGAACAGATGGCCTCCCAGGTCACAAAAGTGACTTGAAAGCTTGCCAAATTATGAAGATCCAGACTTCGCTAGCCAATGAGGCACAGCCACGCAACGTAGGGCCACGGCAATGACACCTTAGCCTTTCTCTATGTCTCGTGCATCAGATGACGTATGACGCGTGACGTATGCAAATGACGTAGGAGAGGATCGTGTCAGGCGATCCTGCGACCTTCCAGGATGGATTCAGTGCCCGCCTGCTCGAAACAACGATTTGTTTTAGTAAAGGCTTGGGTCGGACATGATGCATTTCGGTTCAAGTGAGGCAAAATGACGCTTTGTTGGTCAGAAAGCTGGCCGAGGAGTGCATTTCGGTCAAATCAGATAATCTGAGTTCATTGACCTCGCTTGAACCTGGTACCTCGGAAGCTCGACTTACTTAAACCTCGCGTGGCCCCAGGATCCGACTTGGCCCGAGCTATGCTCTGGTGATTATGTTCTGTTTTCATGCTCTCATGCATTTGATACTATGAATCTTTATCGCTCCCTACACCCACGTAATCTGACAGGATCTGAGGCTACTCTGTTACGTCAAAACGCTAGCTTTGTACGTTTGAAAAGTTCTCAACATATCCGCATCGCTGGACGAAAACTGTCGTCGCGTCGCATCATTTGAGACCTGCGAGTTAATTCACCTGGCTTGAGCTCTGAGTGGCTGGAGACCAACGAGCTCCTAATAATTTTTCATGCAGCTTGTTGGCTGAAGCTTGGTCCAAATCCATGATAAATTCCAAAGTCCGTGCATTACACACGCGGAACAGTAAGGGAGACCGGCAGGCACCTTGCGCAACCTTTCGAGAACGACCTGACCTGACAAGACGCGAGGCCGGCTTTGGTCTCACCACGTGATGAGTGAAGTTGTTTAGAACGTCGACTTTATTTTATTACAATTTCTTAGCACTTAATACCGAACGGACGCTAAATTTTGCTACGAATTAGACTCAGTGCAAAAGAGTAGTTCATAACCGATACGTGGGAAAAGAACTAACCACGGTTCATTAGTCTCGTTTGATCTCGTTGCTATAATCAATGTACTACAAGTGAATGGGGTGGTTAAGGAGTATCATTACGCATTCACTTGGTGACTCAAGTTATGATTCACAGCCATGGAGGAGTGACAACCAAGCATATAATGGCGCTGCACTGTAAGTCCTTGGAAATGACGCCTTAGGTGGCATAATGTGACCTGGACACGATTTGCCGCAAGGCATGCATAAATAGCATACCGCCAGGCACCTCATACTTCACAGTGCTGTCATTTCACAGCTTTTCAATGCCTCAAAGGTTCCACTTGAAGTAATTTACATTCCCAGACCAGATTATCGGCACCACAACGAAGTGTTTCATGGCGGGCTAAGGTACTTATCACTCGTGTAACCTATCAGGGCTGGCATGGGCAAACGGATGACTGTCATTGCGCCATTTTTTCTTTTTAGAAACGAGCATTGGAGGAAGTTATATGTTGTATGAAGTTATATGTTGCGAAATGCAAAATGTTGGTGTGCCTGTTGTACGGCACGTCATTCGTCCCGCTTCCCGGCCCCTTTCGTTTCCAAAAGTATTTGTCAGAAGTGACTAAATATTTTTTTTTAACTAAAAAGACACCTTTCAGAAGTTTAAGAAACACAAGGTGAAATCAAACTTGTGGCTACTCATCTTTTTCCCCACTTCGGTTAGTCATGGCAAAAAAGGACCGTACCAACTGGTGGGACACAATGCGCATTGGAACTTGGAGCAGGACGAGCAATGTCATAACGGATGTGAGAGCATCTGTTACCACTGTGTGCATGCATGTTCTTCATCTGTTTCCACTGCACGCGCAGGCCCATGCGAGGATGCAGGAGTCTAAACTTCGTTCACTAGGACTCAGCTGAAACGTGGGTTTAGAAATTATCAGCTCACTTCTTATCAAATGGTCCTGGCGCTTCTGAAACCTCGCCGAAGAAGATTGGTCTTGGCGTTGCCCCCAAAGCTGGGCTGAGTCCCGTCAGTTCTGCTTGTGAATTATTCGCCGCACGGAAGTCAGTTTCTTAAGGTCATCTGCAGCTGTCCTTGAGCATATCCTGCTCAGTGCAGCGCTGACTGCTAGTCGGCGCGGAGCCCTGCTTAGTGCCACGTCCGATGGTGCCGATGATGACGTCATCAATCAGGCTGACCGACGGCACGACCTGATGTGACAAAAGAAAGCTCAGCTCTCAGCTCCTAGTATTTTTTTCAATCTGAGTTATTGTTTGAAAATGATTAGCCAACAATCTACCAAGAGGTATTGGTTAAATGGCCGAGTCTCGTCAGCCATTGTTGGTATACATGATAAAAATATATTCGCCTTTCAAGGTCGTGTTAATCACCACGAATTCAATGAAATAACATGAATCCAAACAGCCCAATGTGGACGTAGTTTAATATGCATCATACATTATGATAGCATCGCTTAACCAGCCTCTCCTGGCCAACTAAAGGTCATCCATTTTCAACTAAAGAGCTCATAGTCACGACAGCGCGACCTTGCTCTGAAAGCTGCATTGTGCCCACTCTGATCATTGCTGCCGTACTCTTTAACCCGATTATGCTTACCTTGATACCGATCCCCCTCCCCCTCCCCCTGATGCTGGTTTGCACTCTTGTCTGAAAATAAGACGTTCGTGAATCGAAGTATAATGGCGCCACCTATAACGTACCCGGTACGCTTCGCACCGCGGAGCTTGCCGCCTTGCTAGCAGGAGCTTCGCCTGAGCTGTTCGGATCAAAGCGCTGGCGATGCCGTGGTTTTGGGGTGCGGCGCCTCGGGGCGGTGATACCAGGAGTCATACACCTGACTCGAGTCATCCGCGTGACTCCGTGCTCGGAGCATACTCTACGTGGGCGCTGTGGTTTGTGGCTGAGAGCCCTCCAGCTAAAATACATCCGAATTGCAGGGCGTTGCATATCAATTGCATGATGTTGAATTTGACGTCAGCTGCTCGCATGGTCTCTAAACACGAGTTATCACCGGTATGTGATCTGACCTGTGGCACAGGCAACAGAGAAAAACCGAAGTTAACAACGATTTTCAAAAAAGGAATTCAAACCGCACGCTTCGCATGCACGAATATTTTACGGCTTGAATTTGAAAGCTATGCATGAACATAAGCTGAGCTGGATATTATTTTCATGGCAATATCTAAGCGATTGCTTTTTTATGGGTGTGATATTATTTTGTGAGGAACAGACAAGAAGAACGAACATGCCGTACACGCTGACTACCGGCGCGCCGAGGCAACAACCCGTGCGACTTGTTTCTTTGTGATATGTTCAACGACAAAACCACCTTTGAGCCTGCCATTTGATAAAATGAGTTTGCTCCCATGGTGTCATTATTTTGTCGTGCCGCATAGGAGAAAAGACCTTTTAGCCAACAAAGAACGAACATCCGTGTATTTTACGTCTTCACTTGTCAGCCAAAATACATTACCTAACCTTAATTAATTGCTTCTCATTCATTCCGAGAATTGATAACGCTTTATAGCGTTTTAGCACACACATGGCCCAACAGTATCTCACAAATTTTAACGCGTCTCGCTGCGCATCGTCGCACTAAATTTCCTCTCCAGCGTTCCTGGAAACCCCGTTTCCGGCAGGTTTCTGATGACCGTTCGATGCTTTCCCGTCACGTTTTCCATGCGTTTTCGGCGCGTTTCCGTTGCGCCTTCGGACCTTTTCGCGCGTACTCTGTGCGCGCCTAGCCGTCGAGAGTGGAGCGCACCTCTTGGAGTCGGGCCTCGCGCCGCGCGTCCTCCTGCGCCTGCCGATCCCGGTACGCGGCCAGCACCTCCGGCGCGATGGCGTTCTCGCTGTAAACAAGTTCGGGTAGGTCAGCTGTCGTAAACAGGGCACGCCCTTGGTCTGGACGCATGTCGAGGACTTTTGTTGGCACGTGAGGGATCACGGAAGCGTCTGTCCTAGAAATGATGTGTTTGTTGTTTACATGGCATGTGTGATATGAGATCAGAAAACGCTTCCTCACTTTCCCGAGTCTCCCTTGTTCAGGGACTGTTCCGAAACAGCGCCTCAAACCTTGCGTGCGGTCTTCGCGAATTTGCTCCCGCATCAGATATGGTCGAGTTCTCAGCAAAGCTGAGTGGGAAGCACATTTCGTCATATTGCAGGCCCGGTGAATTCAGCATTCACGTCTCTCACCCCACCGAGGCCACAGAGTCGCTGCAGCTGACGCTGATCGTGAGATAGATATTCGCCACCAGTGTCGATTGTCAAAGCAGCAAAAGAGCAGGGTGTGCTTGCAGGCCTGTCTGAGACGGTCTTACTGACCACAGTATCAGCAGAGAGTTGAAAGTCATGAAATGATTTACATGTGCCTGCATCTGAACCAGTTTCCGAGTCTCTAGTGGGCATGCATATTGGCATCCACGCGGGCTTCCAGGTAAAGCAAAATGAAACAGACTTATTGGTCCTGACCCGAGAGTAATTGTCATCGTTTGTTTCTCAGCTCAGCTGCGCAGGCGTGACTGTTGCGAGGATTCACGCACGCACGTGGCGCGCGGCGTCGTCGGGCACCTACCATCCGGGCACCTCCTCAATGTTCTCGTTACAAGCGTCCTTCGCCGGGTCGAAGACGGTCGGTTCGGGGCAGCCCTGCAGGCGTGGCTTGACGGAGCCGTCCTCCTTGTTCAGGCAGATGTAGTACTTGGTGCAGTCGTCGGGGTGCGGCTGCCGCGTGAACTCGCCCACCTGATCGGGCGAGAACTCTTGCGCCGGACACTGGAAGCCCAGGTAACCTGCCGGAGCCGCGACGTCAGAGCTGGCATCCGCCAATCCTGTGCAGCTATCGGCTGAGCATGAGACTGAAACGGCTGAGTCGGGATCATTATCCGCCTGTGATAATAGCCCTGTGGCTGGATCGTAGCATCCTGAAGTCGAATTATGGTGCACAGAAATAAACATGATGAGAACGGTCCATGCAGCGTGGTATGCCTTGTTTACAGGTTTTCCAGTCTGCTGCCAAATTCGGTCATTGCAGATGCACGCCGCGAGGAAAGGAAGATTAGGGCTTAAGCCTGTGGTAAACTTACCGTTTGATTTATGTGATTTCCATACGGTATGATGGCTATGTTACGGCCGTAGGTGTGGACAAATTTGCTGCAGGCTCTCAGGCAACTTAGTAATTCAGTTGCTTTCCAAGAATAAGTGCTCATTTAGGGATTTCGGCAAGTCGTAATGCAAATGCCACAAGTGCGTGAATGTCAATAACTGATCGCGAACAGCCTCGGATGGCAGCTCCAGTGTCATCTTTCAGGCTTTGTGCTCTGGGAGCCAGGCACGCAACGAATGTTTCTCCATTTTGCCTGCAGATGTCCCTGCACAACACCTGCTGACCCACAAAACTTGCATTTGGATGGGACTAAGCCCATCATCAGGATCCAGCGATCACTAGGGATCAGCCGGATTCTGTTATCAAAAAGACGGGTCTATCCCGAAGCATAACCTGTTGCCAACACCGGTGGGTCGGGTGAAGAAAGACACTGGTCTGGGTGCCACGTGACTGGCGCCGTGTCCGTCACATTCACTCCAGCGGCCCTCGGTCCCCCACGCTGACGGAGGCCTACCACGCATCTCAAACGCGCTCAAACGTCAACGCGCGCGCCCAAACGCGCCCAAACCCCGCAGCGCCACTCGGGCTCCGTGGCTGGAGCGCGGCACACCGCCCGCCCGAAGCCTGCCGCCCGAGGCCTGCCGCCGCCGCCATCAGCCGACGACGGCGGCGGCAGGGGGACGGCCGGCGCCTCCTCCGGCCCTGACCCGGTTCGGGCCGCGGCCGCGCGCCGTCGCCAGAGCCGTACCTGCCGCGTCACAGTCTTCCACCTCGTCGGCCCACTGGCAGAGCAGGGTGCGGGCGTTGTAGGCCAGGGTCTCGGGGCAGTCGGCGCGGAACGCCCTCCCGTTGACGCAGCTGGTGAAGCCGGAGCAGTCCGCCGGCGCGTCGCTGGTGCGGAACAGTGCGAACTGGCGCGGACAGTCCTCAGTCGGCTGCGGGTCCTCTGCAACAGCCGACGTAGCGCCATGCACGGCTGTCTTTCGGAGGCTTGTTCGCGCGAGGGTCGACTCAATCGGACGCCAAAGCATCGGTGACAAAGCATCGGTGACAAAGCATCGGTGAAAAAACATCGGTGATAAAGCATTGGTGACAAAGCATCGGTGACAAATCATCGGTGACAAAGCATCGGTGACAAAGCTTCGGTGACAAAGCATCGGTGACAAAGCTTCGGTGACAAAGCATCGGTGACAAAACATCGGTGTTAAAGTATCGGTGACAAAGTATCGGTGACAAAGCATCGATGGGAAAGCATCGGTACGTCAAGCCGCGCGTCGAAAACGTTCCAGAACGGGCTTCAGCACACTGGAAACAACACGCACGACGCGTGATCTTCTTTGAGATGCTGAGTGTGATGTAAAGAGCAACCACAAAAACTGTACCAGACTCGCGAAGGATATTTTGATGAATGCAGCGACCTCATGCCTTGGATCTCAATCATACTGAAGTCAGAAGATTCAGAAGCGGCGACACAGATGACAAGAGACAGATGCATTATACTGAGTTGGGCCTGGACCCCACGGCGCACGCAAGGACCAGCTGTAAGAGTGCCGTGTCGGACGCAAAAGACCATTATCTTGATGAATGCATCGGTCCCATGACGTGTCCTTGGACCATCGTGAAGCCAGACAATTCATATATGCCGAGAATAGCAAAAACAGACAGCTGTAATCAGAGGCTGAGCTGGATGGGTCGGGGCTTGCTTGCGCTGATGGACTCCAGACGAAGTCATAGGATGCTTTCGAGGCTCAAGGCCTGAGTATGTCACACGTAAGAAGCCCACGTGCAAATAATTGTGTGGATCTGCATAGCACATGCTCAAGGGGAGGTCATGGACTGTCATATCTATCTCACAGCACCCTTGACGTGTCAAGAGAACTTCCTGGGGAATATACAAACATGTGTTGAATATGCTGGGAGGACAGGACTTCGTGGTGACTAAGGTCTACAACATGTTTCATTCTGCCAATTCTGTCCTAACTGAAAGGATTTACTTATCTCAGTTAAATCTCGAGACTACCAATCGCTCGTTGTTTTGTTCGTTATAACAAAAGCCCTTCCGCACTAGCGATATAGTATTACATCGATGCCTGTGCCAGATGCGGAGATGACCTTTCACCGGGGAAGTTCCGGCCGGTGAGTCGTCAGCGGCTCTTGACCGAAGATGACCTCCGCACACGCGGCCGCCCGGTAACCGTTAGGCAAATAGAAAGTGCCCAGCCCGGAGATTAGGCCCCGAGCGGGTGCTCCCGGTCCATTGGAATTCAAGGTCGGTCGGGATCTGTGCCCGAGTGTTCAGTGGCAGACGAGCAGTAGCCGGGCGTCGCCAAGGCCGAGCGTGAAAGCGGAACCGCGTCGGTCACAGAGAGTCCGCACAGCGGCCTGGGGCTGGCCAGTACGCCGACGATCCGGAGTCCAGACAGATTTCAGAAGAATGTTTAGTAGTGAAAAAATGACCCCGCTTATGTCTTGGAAATACTGAAGCGTCACTTTTACTGTTCAGACATATGACCTCTTTTGGGGCGATGTTCGCGACATTTTGCTGTAAACTAACATATCACACTTGTTTATCATAGAAAATGTGCTACAAAGGGATTTTCAAGGCTCATTTTCGTACTTTTACCATTATAAAGGGCGCTCCTATTGTGCTGATGGGCTTTTTGAAAAGCAGGACATTCAAGGTTAAGCTACGTCAGGGTTTCACCTTTGTGACCAGGTTTCACCCTTTTAAGTTCTTACCTGTTAAATGTAAATGACAAGTATACTGCCGCATTGAAAGGCCTTTCTAACGCTGTTCTACCCATTGCTATGGTGGGCTTAGTTCTAAATATAGCCCGACGAACTCATGCAACGCTCCTTCGACACGGTCCGACCTTCACTCATTTGACCTGGTATGATATATCATGGTCAGCGTGTGTCGATGGCCAATAGTGGCTATCAGGTATAGGTTTCCAAGAGATATCCAACGCTGTGTTCCACATTTCCGTAGCATGTTTAGTTCTTAGGCATTTGTATGACCTATTTAAACCAATCTGATTCTTATGACCTAATTTGACCTATCAAAGACTATATTGATCATTTTTCAGCACTACCCATCGCATGCAGCTTGTTTGTCAAGATATGTTTGATGTCGCTTTCCCTGTGGCTCTAGCTTGCTTAGTTCATCGAGATTTTAGGGTACTTGTGAGGTCCCCATAAGACGAATGTAACAAAAATCCCTCAAGGCGAGGGTTAAATGAAGCCCATTATAATAAAGAAATGTGCAGAATTTTCAACGTTACCAGTTTAAAACAGGACTGTCCGCGTGATTTTCTTTTGATTATCCAGCTGATTTTCGATTATATTCATCCACTCTCGTCACTGTAATGACTAACCCCTTTTATTTCCATTACTGCCTGAGGGCAGTAAAGCAGGCTTGCTCCCTTCGTGCTTCATCAAACAGGCTGAGTGGCTTCCCCTATTCCCTGCATGTTTTTACACACGGTGCGTGCAAACGGCTCGTTAACAACGCTGTCTTACCAGCGTGATAACTACATCAAGACCCTGGAATCGACGCAGCATGCTGAAACTTGCTCTGGGCCATGCTTTGTTGTGCGGAGCAGCTGACCATTTGGTGGCGAGTTAGGATCGACTCGGAACCAGCGACGCACAGCTGCGGTTCTGGCTCACTTCACGTTTGTGTATGCGCGTATTCTGAGCTAGAGAATGCCTTAACAGAAATAAACCACTCGAACAGCACTCGCTTTTCGTCTGATCAGATGGCTGGCATGTCGTCAGCGATCTCCGGACCGGAGGACCCGCTCCGCCAGTCTGACGCTCGCAGCGCACGCGACAATCAGGCGCGTCCCAGGCTGGCTGGTGACGGTTCACGTCCAACGCCGCCCACCGGTCCTGCTTGCGTCAGCGAGCTTGCCACACGGACTGCGCTACCGGCTATTGTTCCCACGAGGCGTACCTGATCCTCCGACACGAGTTAAGTACCCGTGTCTGTCCAGGTGACACGGGTTCATATCCCCTGTCTGTTCAGGTGACATGAGGTCAGATACCCGTGTCTGTCCGGGTGACACGGGGTCAGATACCCGTGTCTGTCTAGGTGACACGGAGTCAGATACCCGTGTCTGTCCGGGTGACACGGGGTCAGATACCCGTGTCTGTCCGGGTAACACGGGGTCAGATACCCGTGTCTGCCTAGGTGACACGGAGTCAGATACCCGTGTCTGTCCAGGTGACACGAGGTCAGATACCCGTACCCGTCCAGGTGACACGAGTTCATATCCCCGTCTGTTCAGGTGACATGGGGTCAGATACCCGTACCTGTCCAGGTGACACGGGTTCAGATACCTGTGTCAGTCCATGTGACATGGGATCAGATACATCTGTTTTCCAGGTGACACGGGTTCATATACCCGTGTCTGTCCAGGTGACACAGGGTCAGATACCCGTGCTATGCCAATCCAGCACGGGATCAGATGGCCCGTGTCTGTCCAGGCCAAAAAGGGTCAGATGCCCGTGTCTGTCCAGTCCACACGGGGTCACATACCCGTGTCTGTCCAGGCCAAAAAGGGGTCAGGTGCCCGTGTCTGTCCAGTCCACACGGGGTCACATACCCGTGTCTGTCCAGGCCAAAAAGGGTCAGGTGCCCGTGTCTGTCCAGTCCACACGGGGTCAGGTACCCGTGTCTGTCCAGGCCAAAAGGGTCAGGTGCCCGTGTCTGTCCAGTCCACACGGGGTCACATACCCGTGTCTGTCCAGGCCAAAAAGGGTCAGGTGCCCGTGTCTGTCCAGTCCACACGGGGTCAGGTACCCGTGTCTGTCCAGGCCAAAAATGGTCAGGTGCCCGTGTCTGTCCAGTCCACACGGGGTCACATACCCGTGTCTGTCCAGGCCAAAAAAGGGTCAAGTGCCCGTGTCTGTCCAGTCCACACGGGGTCACATACCCGTGTCTGTCCAGGCCAAAAAGGGTCAGGTGCCCGTGTCTGTCCAGTCCACACGGGGTCACATACCCGTGTCTGTCCAGGCCAAAAAGGGTCAGGTGCCCGTGTCTGTCCAGTCCACACGGGGTCAGGTACCCGTATCTGTCCAGGCCACATGGGGCCAGGCACCTGTGGCTTTCCAGGCTACACGAGGTCAGATACCTTTGTCTGCCCAACAAGCAAGTCGACATGAACCGCATTGGGACGAAAAAGGTGAAATGTGAATGCGGCAGGCGGCTTTTTGTTGACTTTCGGGTGCCGAATGCTAAACGGCGGCGATAAAAAAGCGTCACAAATTGACGAATAGTCCAAGTTGCGAGCCACGAATGGCGATCTGTAGAAAAGCGACACGACAAATGTCATAAGTAGCTAATAAAACCGACCTAAACCTAACCGAACCGAACCGAACCGAACAGAACCAAACCTAACCTAACCGAATCGAAGAGAACCGAACCTAACCGAACCGATCGAAGAGAGCTTAACCTAACCGAACCGAACCAAACAGAACCGAACCAAACCGAACCGAACCGAAGAGAACCGAACCTAACCGAACCGAACAGAAGAAACCTAACTTAACCGGACAGGACTGAAGAGAACCGAACCGAACCGAAGAGAACCTAACCTAACCGAACCGAACAGAAGAAAACCGAATCCAAACTAACCGAAACGTACGCGTGTTTTTAGCCCGTTTCGAACGGCATATTATCTTCCGAACGTTTTCATGTATCTGTTCGTCATGCAGTCAATGAGCGACGTTGGAATAACATCAGTTTTTAATGCTTTGAAATAGTGTTCGTCAGCCTGCATTATTTAAAATTATTCTCTATGTCCCCATATCGATTTTTTCATTTTGTCCGAGCACCACATGGCGTATTCACCTCGCCATCTGATGGACGCGAGGGGGCGGTTGGCTCGAGAGCTCCGCTGAGTTCCGCCTCAGCGGCGCCCGACAGACAGATAAGGGCCAGGGGCACGGCCATCTTCCGTGTTCGGAACCGATATCGCGAAGTGACGCTGTTAAGTGCTGAACAGATCCACGCGGTGTGGCTGCCAGCAGCGTATGGTTAAGGCGCTTGAAAAGAGCCTCATTAAGATGCGCAGCCAAGGACGCCACCCTGACCTTGCCCCAGGCTATTCTGCTGCCAGTGCGTCCGAAGGGCACACAAAGCCAGTTGATCACTAGGAATGCATTTCCTCTGTGCCGAGACAGACGCTGGTATTTTCCGCCTCGCTGCGCCGCAGGCCGGGAGAGCCGCTGTGTGCGCCACTCCTTACCACGCCATAAAGAGTGCCCGGAGGGGGGCGGCGGCGCCTGCCGCCCACGCGCGTCGCCGTCGCACCCGTCCCCGTCACAGCGACTCTGCGCGATGGCGCCGCAGTCCCCCCCCCCCCCCTCCCCCAGGGCTGCCGGTCCGGGATGGACGGCTGCCGGACGGCGCACATGGGGCGTCCCGGTCCGCGTCACCCCCGGGTAGCGTCATCCCCCGGTAAGCTCGCTCACGGAAGCAGCACAATGGCCACTGCGGTTATCAGTCCTGAGCGAGGCAGGCGCCAACTGCGCCGTTGGTGTCCTGGCCTCTTGCTGGCGTCGGTGAGTGGGAGGGTGGGTTCAAGAGCATCCGCTAAGGGTATTAGCAGTATCTGGAAGGCACGGCCGGGAGGGACTCCCGGAACTATCGTGGCAAAACACGAGGACAAGAATAGACGGGCTCCCAATGGTGCTCTTTGACAACGGAAGGGCATATCTTGCACTCCGCGGAGAGCCAATTCGTAAATCCAAGAATGGGACTGGCGAAAAATCGTTGGAAAGAAATATGTCTGGTGCTTTTGGAATAAAGAGTGAATACATAGTGTAATACTGTATATCTGGCTAGACCAAAATTGTGCAAAAGTTGACCATGACCTCACGATCATATACAAAAGCTGAAAGTGTTTTTTTTTTTGTCAAAATGGTACTCCTGCGACATTTTCCCCAGCACATGAAGTTGGGTTCAGTGAGAGATAAGTACAATGCTTATAGTTGGAAAATCTGGCATATAGCTGTGAAATTTCTAAATGTCTATAACTTGCTTGGCGGGTATTACCCAAAGATGCACCTGACCACCAGGGGCGGATCCAGTCTTTCGTCAAGGGGGAGGCCACGCTTCACGGTGGTGCTCCCAGGAAGCTCCCACCCCCCTCACAAAGATTTCTCGGATTTCGGCTACTCGCTCTTCGAGTTCTTGTTTTTTAATTGATAAAATCTATTTTATCGGAACGGTTCACCGGATTAGGCCAACTTTTTTCTATATGCCAGTTGTTATCTATTTTCCACTTCGAACATGAAGAGTTGGGACTGTATGTAGCGCCGCTGAGCTTTGGGGCGTCTTGATAAAATAGGTTACGTGAACACAAAATTAGGATTTTAGTGTCGCTTCGGCCGAAGGCGAGCCATGTCCCCATGCTCTGTCCCATCCCCCTCCTCCGGGTCCGCAATTGCGTCTGACAGTGAATGGCACTTGGTGTACCCATCTAGCCCGCGTTGCTCAGAGTCCATTGAGCCTGAAGTAGTGTGTGGTGCTTGTCACCACCTATGGTAGTGACGGAAGTGGGTTATGAAATGTTTGAATCACGCATCCGATAAGGTGGACAGAGCTCACACCACATAATCCTAGCAAGCCTCTATCGGTAAGTAATCCAGTCGTCTTCATCAAAAGCTAACCACCTACGTTAAAAATTGATGGCCCGTGACATTCCACAGTGATCTTAGAGCTTGGGATCTAAAAATCGCCACACATCCCTTCATTTAGTTAGGGTCACTTGTGTGGAGAATTAGCGGAGTAAATGTGTGATCCACGACAGCTCTCCTGGGCTGAGTTTCAGCTTTCTGCTGTGATGCCTATTAAGCTGACGACAGTGATAGTAAGTTTTTCTTCGACTGTTGCTCTCTATTTTTACCGGCGTGATTAAATGAATGACAAATCACCGTCCTTGGAATTCCGTAGTAAATTCTGACGAGAATAAGTAAAAATGCAGCATAAAGGCAAAAATTGGTAGCACTGCAGCTCGTCTTAAAGCATTATGTTAACAATCTAAAATGAAACTAGAATAAATGAATTAGCTAAACCTGTTTCAGAGACATTTCTAAAAATGATTACATTTCTGCCGATTTTTCATCAAAAACCTCAAATATGAACAAAAACCTATACCAAAGCATATCCGTTGTTTTTGAGTCGAGACACTAAGCACAAGAAACGTCAACGGGCGAAGCACAAGAAACATCAACGGGCGGTGTGGCGGGGTCAGAGCGGCGGATGGCGCCGGGCGGCCGGGCCGCCGAGCCCGAGGAACACTCACGTATACCGCTGCGGGCCAGGCAGTCGACCTCCTGAGGGTAGACGCAGGGGTACGGGCGCTCCGGGTGGAACAGCAGGCCGTCCTGGCACGTTCTCTCCTGGGCCACGCCATCGATGCACTGGTAGTACTTGTCGGCACTGGTTATCGTGCGCGTAGGTGCCGTTGGGTTCGAGGCAGTTGAAGTTGGCTATCACCACCTCGTTCGACGACGGCGGCGGGCGGCGGCGGCGGCGGCGGCGGGGGCAAGGCCCTCGCATTCCTGTTGAGCGACTGCGGACTGGCTGCGGCTGCAAGCGGAAGAGATCGGCTATTGAGCGACGCCAGCGGCAACCACCACACAACAGCCCTCTATCATGAGTATAGAGTGCTTATGTTCACATGCATGGTTAAATCCAAGTTTTGTGAGTTTTCGGCAACATTAGCAATGTTGTTCGGTTACGGTGGATAAGGGGAGTGTGCCGCTCTCTTACTTTTCAGTTATTGCTATATCAGACGCGTTCGATTTTATCATTCCTACCAGTTTTCCCGCAATCCTCCCGAAGAGCTCAGAATTTTGAGCTAAAGTAGCCGCTCGTGAGGGAGAATCTCATTGTAAAAACCCCGCTCACCACCACGAAATAAGTACGTTTTACTTGCTTTGCCTTTTCCAACGAATATTTTCTTTAGTTTTTGCAGCGCTAATTTTTCAAAATGTTTGTGTGAGAAATGCTACGGAGGCTTGAAACACTCTGCTTAGAGAAAAAGAAATGCAGACGCGAGACTATTATCACGCGAATTCAAGGCAACTTTATACTATGGCTTTGATTTCTCTCCTTACAGTCGTTTACCACAGCGGCTCTTTTCGAAGCCCACGTTGGCTTCGGAAAATAGAGTGCCACATCGTTTATAGCAACACACTGGTTAAAGCGTCAACAAATGCGCTTCTCAGCACCTGATCCTTGCCGTTCGCTGCGCCAGTCACAAACGCTCAGTTGTACTGACGTCATTTACACCAGCAGAGCTGCCACTTTTAAGCTCGCAGACCCACATTGTTCGTGTTTAAAGAGCTCAAAAGTGGGTCACTCTAACTCGTGACAGATGAAAAAGGCCCACCGGATTCTGCCGTCGGCATGACGACGTCGGTTGCCCATGACGACGGCGGTCGCGACTATTGCGGCTATCGCGGACTCTGGACACACTCTGAGATTACCAAGAAAGAAAGAGGAGAAGCGCTGTTGCATAGCGTTGACAGCGTAATATTCACCTCGAGAGTAATTGAAATTGAGATTTTTATTATACCGTAATGGTCCTGCAATGGAGCCACCCAGTGTCATTATTAGACGAAAATGGTTACGTGGTTCCACTACAGTATGTTTTTTTAATGTGTTACAAAGGTGGGATACTCTCTTTTATCACTGCCTCCTAGTATGATTACTCTCAGCAAATCAATTTTGAGCGCTAAATGAGGAGACACCACGAATTCAAGGACTTTCTCGACTACTCTGAATGTGGCTGTGCTCCGAACATCGACCGTTCTGGTGAAGGCCTTCGAGACTTTGAGTTAAGCGGCACGGCGACAGGGACGAAAATGAATGCGTGGTTTTCATGCATGATAGCCAGCAAAATTAGAAGACCTTTAAATAACATGATTCGTGTGTCTGGCCTTTCACTTTGGTTCGCAATAATTCCATGCATTAGAGGATTACGGGTGCCGTGTATCGTGTCCATGCTATTAGCCACGATAGGTTCTTTGCCGCGCGGCGCACCTCAGCTTTCCTATCACGCAACGCTGAGACGTCAGACTTGGCATTGATCTCCTCATCAATGACCGGCCGAGAGACCCGCTCGCAGGCATTGCCAGCAAACTGTCCGACATTACCGGCTTACTTCGTCGGAATTACACAAACGCGTGTATATGGCGCAAAGAACAACCGATGTTGTGAACAGCTTTAGCAGGTCTGGATAGACTAGGAACTCGGTCATGCTGTCAAAAACGTGTTCAGTGATTCGTTTTCCAAATGAAGTCTCCTCAGATACCCGCTCACCCAGCACGTTAAAAGAAGGGTGTTGAGAGCTAATACACCCATGCTTGGAATGTTGTATGTACCAACGCCAGCACACACGGCGCAATACATCTAATATTGCTGATAGCTCAGCTGGTTCTGTCCTGGTTGATCAGCTGCTTAGCTCAGCTGGTTCTGTCCTGGTGGCTCAGTTGCTTAGCTCAGCAGCTCATGCGGCGTCTCTCTCGGGATTTATCTATCCGTGGCGGGAGAGTTGGAGTCACTTTAACCGCTCGCTATTTGAGCCTGGCTGGGTTGGTCCGGTCGGTGGCAGCGGCCGCGCTAAAGGTCGGGTGACGTCAGAGGGTAGGAGGATGTTCCTTGCCGAGCGTTGCAGCCCGCATTAAGCAACGCTCCAGAATGATGTCATCGACGCGTAATTTCACGACTAGATGGTGGGGCCACGGCTCACCCAAAAATCATTGCTTGGCGTGAGTGCTGATCCCATTGATCCGTCCCATCAAAAAGTTCGCACTGAATTTGTAATTCGAGAGGACTTTCTACGAATCTGTGTCAGATATCTAAAGCATACATCGTAGTTGTAGGGATGTTGTGTAAGGTAATGTTTTTTGCATAAGAAACATGGTCGACGACAGACAGATGCCGTTGGGGTTCCATTCCAAGGCCAGGAAGCGCAAAAGCGAAAGGTCACATGCAAATTACAGGTTTAGTTAGCGGATGTTCAAGTCTTTCGAAGAACAGCGCACATTGTTTCATCCTACGTTCACTGTGGATAGTCATGCACTACAATTTTTCCTTTTCTATGGTGCAAGAATCCGTTAAACCATGGTAGTAAAAGTGTTTTATTGTAATTAGATTTGTATGATAAAAATGGCTGGATGATTCGGCTGTAGAGAGCTGACTAATTCAAAACTGATATCAAAAAATTATCATATAAGTTTCATATCTGTCACGTAATCTTCCAAAACTCCCCAGATGACAACTGCTTAACTATCGATGCGGCCATGTAGTTTCGGAGAGACTGCTCCGCGTTTTATTTTGATGGCCACACAAAGTCGCGGTGAACAGAAAGCAGATGTAATTTGAGTGCAATGGATAGCAATTAACTGCCGTGAGATTAGTGATGGCAAAGGTGTTATACATCAGACAATCACCACACAGCGTGGCTGCCAAAAGACTAGCACGAGTCTTGCCGACGACAAGCAGAGGGCAGCCGCACCCCTGACTTGGGTCGTCCGCGCCGCTGTCCACTCACCGGCGGCGCACAGCAGCGCGAGGCTCAGCAGCTGGCACGAACCCATTCTTGGCCGGTGACGAGGAGGTAGCGGGGACGCGCGCCGGCCGTGCTCGCGAGAGTGAACGGCCGCGGGCGGCAGAGGCGCCTCCGCACCGTCCGAGTCAAGGCGAGCGGGCGGCGGCCAGGCGAGGGGGAGGGGGAGGGGGAGCGGCGCCACCGGCCGCCCGTTGCGACGGTCCCGCCGTGCTGCTCTCGGACGTGGTAGGTGTTGCCCGCTCATTGATGCAGGGTGGGTTCGGCGCGGCCGCATCACCCGGCGACCAGGGGCGATATCGATGCGATCAGGGCGATATTTATCTCGGTACTTCACTCTTCTACCTCGCTTTCAGCCGGGTGCGAAAAATAGCTTTTGCTTTGAAATTATTTGAGGCACAATTTCAGATAAAAAGCCTAAACTGGCTGGATTGGAAGGTGGCAGGGTTCTTCGAACCCTGGAACATACTGATCTGAGTTCGATGAGGTGGAGTCAGAGGTTGGAAAACCGTTTCAAGCCCATACAAGCTTTCTCGCAGGGTGTGAAATCCTAAATCACCGTCCAGGGTTTTCATTGTTTCCTAGCATCATTGGCCAATTCCAGAAAACGCAGATATCATAACCATAAAGCACTTTCCTTGGAATTGTCCTACGATGGGTCTTAAGATCTTGCTTTTTGTACGATTTTCTTGACACTGCCTTCTTTTAGGGCAGACCTTAAAAAATACAGGCGTCAATAAGGCGTTTGCGTGCTGAAACTACGCGTTTGAACGAATACAGAATAAGAACCCATCGGTGCACAGTTCGCCGCGTGAATATTGGATGCGTTCTATACAAAGTGGCCGAACTGCAATAATTGTAGACTGTTTTCTGATCGCACACAGTTGGCGAGGTTTTACAAACAAGAAGGTATTGAATGATGTGAGATCATCAATATCGATGGCCACTTGTAAGTTTTCAGTAATTTGTGAACTTGCGTGCTGTTCAGTGGTGGCGACAGCTGTCTTTGATGCCACTTCTGCGGAACTGATTCCAACTTCAAATCTACGCCCGTGAGCTGATTCCTACTCTGACCTAAAGCAGCACAGCCAACTTTGGCCCGTCACCTCATTCCGACTCCAGAATGTGTGGCCCGTTTCCCCGCAATTTATTCCGATGGAGTCAATACCAGAGGCAGTAATTTAGGAGGAAGCGCGTTCTATATGGTACTGAAGGACAAGCATAGAGAGAGTGAGAGAGAGAGGGGGGAGAGATAGAGAGAGAGATAGAGAGAGAGAGAGAGAGAGAGGGAGGGAGAGAGAGGGGGAGAGAGAGAGAGAGAGAGAGAGAGAGAGAGAGGGAGAGAGAGAGAAAGAGAGGGAGGGGGAGAGAGAGAGAGAGAGAGAGAGAGAGAGAGAGAGAGAGAGAGAGAGAGAGAGAGAGAGAGAGAGAGAGAGGGAGAGAGAGACTAAAGTGCGGTTAAATGTGCAATACAGTTGTGAGCGAATATAAAGCATCAGGAAAGAACAACTAGTAAAAACCCTCACGATGAAACAAAAGTTCAATCTATGGGTGATATCTGTAAAACACTCATTTTTCGAGGACATCGCTCCTCGGGAACAGCATCTTTGACAGCATTGGCTCGAACTACATCTATGGCAAGCTCAATTTTGACTACTGCTAACCGCGCTGTGCGTGGCTCCAGTTTGTCTCTGGCTCCCTCCGAGCTCGACCTAAGAAGGGCGCAGGGAGACAGCTACTTGGTGTGAGTACGTCACGTGCTGCACGAACATTGGGTCTATTGTTTCTATAGCCTAGGTTACATCCTTGTATCGCATCACGTAGGGCTGCGACACAATATCGCATATCGGTTAGTATCATGTAT